ACAACACTTGGGTAAACAGAGTCAGAAGCACTAGAGTCAACTGTCAGAATCCCAACCACTAGACCATTGGGATAAAAGGGCTTGTTAAGTAGCGGGTCAGTGCGCCCATAACCCCCCCGGACAACGAGCCTGTAACCCTTTCCTATGATCAATCGGGGATCACCAGTGGACCTCTGACACCCCCCCGCACTGAGATGCCCAAAGTGCACACACTGGGATTCAAACCCAAAACCTTCGCTCTGATACCATGTCAGAATCCCAACCACTAGACCATTGGGATAAAAGGGCTTGTTAAGTAGCGGATCAGTGTGCCCATAACTCCCCAGAACAACGAGCCTGTAACCCTTCCCTAGGATCAATCGAGGATCACCAATGGACCTTTGACATCAACAAGAGCATACATAGCATGAGGAGTTCCGAAGAAATCAACCAACTGAGAAGCCGACATGCCCCACAGAGCAGTCACTGAGTTTGCCTCTACTCGCTGCCTTGACTACGCCACCAGTCTTGTGGCTGCTCCTCCTACCAGTCCTCTGGCCGTCGGGGGTGAGTCTGCCCTTGGCTGTGACGCCCTAAAGGACAGGCAGTTTGAGCTGGAGTTCCTGGAAGCCACTTCCTAACAGTTGTACCCCCTATAACATATATCACTAAGACTACAACATTTGACAGTTTTTTCATATTCATAGATTACTGTGCACTGAACAGGGTTCCTATTATATAACGTTACCTGATACCATGTGCCGACAAATTGATTTGAACTGATGCATGCGCGACGGCTTGACGAGCTTAATGTGACACCGTAACTTGTCGCGGGCGTCGCTAAGATACCCAACCCCATGCAACCAAGTGATCGTGATTGATTGTAGAAAATCGTATTGATTGGGGTGTTCGAGGCGGTTGATCGAGTTGGGGCGATCAATTGATCGCGATCTAATGATTGCTCCCGATTGCCTGCAATTGGCTTCTTGGCTCCCAGGAAGTTGTTGATTGCCTCTGATCGGGGCGATCAGAGGCGGTCTGGGTCACGCCCTGGTTTTTATCATGGTCTTATTTCATTATTTAGTCATGTCTAGAGCGAGTTAAACTTCAGGGTTCAGTTTAGTTTAAATTGGTAGTTCTTAGTGTAAAATGAACAAGACCTAAGTTCAATTAGGGCTTTTCCAACTCATCAAATGTACCTCGACACTTTTCTCTAGGTATGGCCACCACAAGGACGCGGGCACTCGCACCAATTTTGGCAATCGAAAGTGAAATTTCGATCCGTCACCGCACTGGAAACCTGCAATTACAAACTAATTTTTTTCCAACCTTTTTAAAACCTGTATAGAAGCGATCCTGCGTAGGATCGATCACGCAAATGTGGTGGGAGTGCCCGCGTCCAACATGGCGTTTCGTTCTTATCTTTATTTCTTAGTCCATTTTAGGCCCTTAGGCCTTTTTCACATCCTCTCTTAGCCAGTCGATTTTTTTTTAGGTTACCTCTTGCTCTAGCGATTCCTTTCTCCCCACGTCGCGGATACGCCCCAAGCAATAGCGCGACCTCCTTAGAACCCTCGCGGACCTCCCCTACCTTAGTCCCGCGCCCCTCCCGCTTCGTCGGGCCCCTCCTCCCCCGCTTTTCCGATCGTCGTGCGCGCTCATCTCCACCCTCGCGCGCGCCCTGCACCATCCTCGCGCGTGCCCTGGTTTACCTCGTCGCGCGCGACCTGCATTACCGTCGCGCATGCCCACCATCCCGCTGTCACGCGCCCCCTGTGTTACCCCGTCGCGCGCCTCTCGAACTACTCTGTGATGCGCGCACTGTCCTACCCCGTAGTTCGCGCCCCATCTTCCCTCGTGGCGCGCACTGCCCGTCCTCTCGTGTGCTTCCCTGCATCTTGCTGCACGTCATTACCAGCTCCTCCACACACTACGCCCCTTCACCCTCCTCCTCCTCTTCGCTCTCCCTTCTTTCCCCATTCCATCTCACCCTTTCCTCCGCCTCTCGCTTCTCTTCAACTGCTGCAGTTGGTTGCTGGTTTCCCCTGGCAGCCGTGCTCCTTCCCCCCCTTCTCCTCCTCGTGATTCTCCCCTCAACTGCTAAGCAGCAGAATCTCCCATCCCTATCACTCCTCGATTTCCTCCCCTCATCTGCTCAGCTGCAGCTTCCTCCCACTGCTTTCCCTCCTCGTAATTCTCCCCCTCAGCTGCTCAGCAGCAGACTACTCCGCCATTTTTCCTCCCCCTCTTGTATCTCCCCTCAGCTTCTTAGCAGCAGACCACCTTTTTATCCTCCGATGTCTTCTTATAGCTAGGACAGGCGATGTCGTGTCTGCAACTGGTTTCCTCTAGCCTCTCTCTACTCGCCCGCATGTCACGTGTATCCAGCCAATCCATTGCGCCTCGACCGACGTCCACATTCGTCCCTGCGCTTAGATCCGCCAGATTACTTTCTGCTTGCTCTCTCCGAAATTCTGGCAGCGAGAATTCATTTCCTGCTATCGGAAATATCACAGTCGCTAGCAGGAGGGTTGAACGCGGCGCGGTATCAGCGGAAAGCGGAGCGGGCGGAAGCCGTGGACCGAGGCCCGCGCAGCAGGGGGGTGGGGAGAAGCGCGGACCAAGGGGGGGCGGATTGCAGGGGGGGGGGGGGGGGTCGGGAGGTGAGGGGGACGGAGAAGTTACCGGGGGGATCGCAGGAATCGCGGAATGAGCGCGGGCGCGACAGGAGAGACGCGAAGGGGGAGGCGCAAGGGTGGGTGCGCATAGGGGGGTTCGAAGCGGAAGCCTTGCACGTGCGCGTGGGGCGGAGATGGGCGGAAGACGAGGGGAACGCGGAGGCGGAAGCGGAGGCGGAGGGGGCGCTGGGGGAGACGCTATTGCAGAAGAGACGGAGGTTTGGGCAGGCTGTGGAGAAAATGAAGGGGGACGCGGCGCGCAGGCGGAAGCTGGCGGAAAAGGGGCTTCTGCCGCCCCCCCTTGGCGCGCCGCACAACGGGCTGCTGGTCCCGCGCCTGGTGCGCGTGGCGCACCGCACTCTCGCACTCTGGCTGTCCCTCCAGGCGAAGATTCCACGCCTGCTTGACGCCGTGCCCGCTCATGCGTGCAGGTAGGCCCACTGCGTTGCGCTGTAGGTAGACGTTCTGCACTGCCTTGTGTAGCTGCACGCCAGGATCCCAAGGCTGCTGGAGGCTGTGCCTTCTTATGCCTGCAGGTTGGCCCCCTGCTGCTGCTGCTGCCGCCGCCGCCGCCGCCTGCTGCTGCTGCTGCTGCTGCTGCTGCTGCTGCTGCTGCTGCTGCTGCTGCTGCTGCTGCTGCTGCTGCTGCTGCTGCTGCTGCTGCTGCTGCTGCTGCTGCTGCTGCTGCTGCTGCTGTTGCTGCTGCTGCTGCTGCTGGGGTCCTGCTGTCACGCAGGCCGGCCGTTATGGTGCTGCTGGCGTTTTCGCTGGCGCTGCTGCTGCTCTCTGCTCTCTGCTCTCTGCTCTCTGCTCTCTGCTCTCTGCTCTCTCGACTCCATGTCCAGCCTCTCGCCCATCCCCCCTGGCAGTGCCCACAGCTTTCCATCCCCACCATTGCATGGGCCATTGCAAGCCCCCTTCACCAACCTCTCTATCAGCCCCTTTTCCTTCGAACCCCACGCCCCCCTCTCCTACAGCAGCCCCCTTGCCCCATCCCTTCAGGCTGTCTCCAGAGGTCGCCATTAAAACTAGCCCCCCAACCAAATTTCCTAACCCCCCAACCAATTTTGAAGCCAGAAACGCACTCAACCACTCTACAACCGTTATATCCAACCATTGTGGCCCACCACCACAATTGTTAAGGAGCACAATGCCTTCATTGTGCTCCTCATTTCTAGATTTCACCAATTCTCTTTCGAAAACCCTAGAGGTTTATGAAAATTTTTGCCCAATGATGTCCTATGTCCATCTCCCCCTCCTCCCAATGCCCTAGGCGATGTTTTTTTGCCTGCCCGTGCGTTTTTTTTACCCTGCCCGCCCATGCGTTTTTTTTTTTTTTTTTTTTTTGCGTTTCAGGAACCGACCATTCTGCGTTCAGCATTTTAAACGCTGCGTTTAAACGCCAGCGTTCAAAACGCTGAACGCGTTTTTCATAACATCGCCCAACACCCGTGCGTCATGTGCAAACTGCAAGGCCTTCAGAAGCCCCTCAGAAGCCCCTCTACTTCCACATAGGCATGATTAAATTGCCCGTTCGGGTCGGGCCGCCCGCGTCGGGTCAGGACTTTCAATGTCCTGGCCCGGGCGGGTCGAGTCGGTCCGGCCTGGGCAAAAACCCGACCCGATGTTGAATTTCGGGTCGGGTCGGGTCGGGCCTCGGGCCGGCTTTGACCCGACCCGGAATCGGGTCAAAAACAGGGTAACCGGGTCAGGCTTTGATCCGACCCGATTTCAACACTAGGGAAAACCCTAAAGTCGATATCGATGGGATATTTTTCCCCTCGACAGCATTCCCGCTACCTAACTAACCGTCAGCCCAGAAATCCTAGTTTCTAGGCAAGTACTAGTCGACTATGTGCAGTGCAGAGGATCAATGTCGCGAGATTTGTAAAGAGTGAGAGGGGGGGGGTGGGAATTGTAGATTCAGTGCGGTAAAGGGTGGTAAGCAGTGGCGAATTGGTTGGAAATGTTGGTTCCAACACATTTGTTGCAAACGAGTGCCTAGGCTGGGAAAATTACAGGCAAATTCCCGATGTTCACAGAATTCGCCGATCTGCGCGGGGGCGAGAACGGGCTTCCTGACCCGACCCGACCTCGGGTCGCCCCGACCCGAAGTCGGGTGAGGGCTGACCCGGCCCTGTACCCCCGGGTCGGGTCAGGTTATTTATTTAACATCCTGGCCCGGGGCTGGCCCGACCTGACCCGACCCGAAAACCCTCTTGGCTTGGCCAAAGTCGGGTCGGGTCGGGTCGGGTCGGGCCAGATGCTCATGCCTACTTCCAAATCCTTCACCCAATCAACCCCCCTTGCCCTCTTGCTTGTCTCTCCCCCTTCCTCCCCCAGGCAGTGTCCAGAGATTCCCATTGCCCACCACCCCCACGCCATCCGCAACCTTCAGAATGCCCTCTACCTCTCAAACCGAACTTAACTCCTCTAGTCACCTAAGCCCGTTGCCATCGCTCTTGCCTTTCCTCCCCCACTCCCACCCCCCAGGCAGTGTCGAGAGGTCTTCACTGCCCACCACTCCCTCGCCATCTGCAATTGCATTGCAAGGCCCTCAAAATCCCCTCTTCTTCAAACTTAACCCCTCTAGTCATCGAAACCCCTTGCCGTCTCTCTTGTCTTTCCCACTCCGCCCCCCCCATCCCCCCAGGCTGTGTCCAGAGGTCTCCATTGCCCGCCACCCCCATGCCATCCGCAACTGCAAGGGACCGAAGCTACACAGCCGTTCGGGCAGCCCGGGCAGCCATGAATGGGCGCCTGCCACGCCCTCCGACATCCTCCCGGTCATCGAAAGTTTTCATCTGCCCGATCGTCTGCGCCCCCGTGTGCCGCACGAGGCGAGATTTGACGTGGAGAGGATCCCAGCTGTAATAGAGCTGTGCGTTCAGGTGATTCTTCAAGTTCAGGTGATTCTTCATGTTCAGGCCATTCATTAAGTTCAGGTGAGCTTTCAGGTGACTTGTAAGTCATCCCACCCCTCCCGGTCCCCCTGCATGCTGGGCGAGGGTGGGTCTCCCAGCGGCATGGCCCCCTTCTTCGCGCATTTGCATGCGACCATCCCTTCCTGCACGCTTCCCCACTCGCTGCTCTCTGTAGAGCACCTTGCATGCATGATGCATGAACCATTGCGACACGCACCCTACCCACAAGTCCGCATGCTGTGTGCTCAACACGTGATCGAGCATCCGTCCGCCACTGTCTTGCACACCCACTGCACACCATCAATCCCTGACCCATCCCCTGTCCTCCCCACCATCCACCCCCTCTGCTCCACTTCTCCCTTCCACTTACCCTCACCTCAGGCGGGTGTAGACCTGCCAGGCCTGCGCACCGTGCGCCGAACCGATCCTGTGCAAACCACCAGGCCTGGCACCAGCCGGGCCTGGGTTGCAGGCTTGGAGGGCGAATCAGAGTCAGGAGTGTTTAACAGGGGAGCTTATAAGGGGGACGAGGGAGATGTGGTGAAGGCGATTCTAGAGATGGCTGAGATGGAAGCCGTGGGGGCGGAGGTGGTGTGGGATGAAGGGTCTCAGGGTAAGATGAGGGGGGGGGGCGGGGGGTTGGAGGGGGGTCATGGAGGAGGGTGGTGGCAGGATGGAGAGAAGGTTGGAGCGGAGGAGCAATACAGAGGTGGGTTTGAAGGAGAAAGGGAAGGGGGAGGAGGAGGAGGAAAAGGGGGGAGTGGATGGGGAAGGAGCAGCGGAAGGGGAGGGGAGTGTGAGGGAGGTGGCAGAGGAGGCGTTGAGGGAGTGGGAGGAGGTGAGGGAAGGCGTGGAGAGGGTGATGGGCAAGTACCCTGTGATGGTGTGCGGGTACTGCCCTGAGGTGCACGTGGGTGCGGCTGGGCACAAGGTGAGATGATGGGGTAGCGTTGGGAGCGTGGGAGAGCTGAGGGATGGTGTGGAGAGGCTGATGGGCAAGTACCGTGTTTGGTGTCACTTTTGAGAGTTCTCAAATGTGCGGATACGGCCCTGAAATGCATGTGGGTGCTGCCGGGCACAAGGCGTGGGGGGCCATGGGGGAGCATGGGCAGGCATGAGGCTGGGTGCTGGGTCTTGATGTTGTGCATCAGAGCTCGCCCACCAGCCTTCTTGCACTCTACTCTCATATTCACCTCTATCTGCCCTCTGCTGTTATTCAGGTGCTCTGTTGTAGTTTCAGGTGCTCTAAGCGTGTGGCGTTATTCAACTTCAGGTACTCTTTTGCGTGTTCAGGTGCTCTGTTGCATCTTCAGGTGCTGTACTGCAAGATTCAGTGCAACACAGCAAGCACTGGCACCACCCGCAGCAAGGCCAGCACTGCTCCCCTTCCCCTCAAACCCTGTCTTTAACTCACGAATTGCCAGAACTTCACAATTTACCTCACATCCCGCTTCTTCTCACCCTCCCTGCTCTCAGGTGCGCCTGTGCAACGCCTCCAAGCAGCAGTGGCGCCATGGGCAGCACGGGTGGCAGCCGGCAGCCCTCTCCGACCTGCTCCCCCCCGTGCCTGTCTACCACATGCGCCACCCCTCCGGCCCCCCTCTGCTGCACGAGCTGAGACCGTTCTACGGCCGAGTGCCAGCGCTGCTGGAGCTCTGTGTGCAAGCTGGGGCGCCTGTTCCGGATAAATGGCGGAGACACTTTAGGCTCGATGTTGCAATTCCGGATGTCAATGATGTGGATAACGTGGTGTAAGAAAGCACCTTGCTGCCCTCCCTGACCTTTGGTCGCTGCTCACCCCCCCTCTGCTCCTCCATTCTTGCTCCTGCTCCGACTCCCGACTCTTGTGCCTCACGGCGTCATTTCCTGGCCGCTTCTCCTCTAGCGCCATAATCGCTGGCCCTAAAGGCGGCCAGTGAGGAGGATTGAAGTAGACTTTCATGTCATAGTCTGAGTCGTGAAATTCTTCCGGCACCTCCTTCTGTCCTCTTCCTCCTCTCCCTCCTCTTCTGTGCATCTGCGGGATCAGCACACCTTCCTGGTGTGCCAAACCGGTCGTCCCTCCAGCTTCCAGCGGTATCCCCTGCCACCACTGTAGCTCTCCCTCTTCCTCCATCCCCCCTAGCATCCTAGTGGCTTCAATTCAATTCAAGCTCCTTCCCTTCAGCGTAGCTGACCTGAGGCCTGTCCTGCCCAGCTTTATCTCTCAAACACTCCATCCACTGCCGCTCCATATCACTTCTCATCGTGCTGATGAGCCAGTGTAGCCAGGGTCGTCGCTAGCAGAAATTTTCTGTCTGTTAGTCTGATATTCAGACAAATTTTAACCAGTTCATCTGATTTTCCAGAAATGAATTTTTGAGATTTCTGATTGATAAGAAATGTTTTTTGAATTCATCTGATCAATCAGGAACCTGTTCTGGTTTTGTCTCATACCGAGTTCCAATGTAGAAGGGTGTTTCGTGTGTGAATGGAGTTCGGCCAGTTATCTGGAGCGTTACCTAATCCTATGTATACAGAAGTAGTCTAATTAGCTGTGATAGGCTTCACAATGATGAGCATCCTGTTAGAATAGGAGGCAAAAGTGATGTCGACTGTCGAGAGGGTTGGTACAAAGAAAAATGAACCTAAGGGGTTGTACCCCACAGTGTGTACCCCACTAAGCCTACCCAAACTATAACATAGATATACATATGTTTGACACACCCCCATAGGCAGAGTGGGGAAGAACAGAGGGTCACAAGACCAGTCAGGAAGTGCAAAGCAAGCTCAGGGTGGATCACAACGTCACCACGCAGTCTGAGCACAAGCAAGAAGGCCACAAGGCCAGTTCACATGCAGAGATATATATGTAACAACAACAGTACAGTGAAATCTACCTACAAGAACAAGCATGCAGGAATACATATAAATCATGGTACAAACAAAGCCTACAGCAAGTGAGGAAGAGTGGGCACAAGGCCTAACAAAGTGCAGAAACGCTGATGATCACCAGGCGGAAGTGCCTTGGTGAATATATCAGCAGTGTTGGCCCGAGTGGCCACGTAGGTAAGACGAAGCTGGCCATGCTGCTGCAGCTCTCGAGCAAGAAAGTAACAGAGAGCGATGTGCTTCGTTCTGTGCTCCAGTCTGTGCTCCTGACGCAAGGCAATGGCGGCCTTGTTGTCGACGTACAGCACTGGAGGAGAACGAGGCCGCTCTCCCAAGTCGGTCAGCAGGTAGGTGAGCCAGCGAAGCTCCTGTGCAGCCATGGCTGTGGCGTAGATCTCAGCCTCACAACTGGAGCCGAGAACTGAAGACGAGCATGTAGAACGCCAAGAAACTGAACCAGAGCCAAGGCTGAAGGTGTAACCATGTGACGACCGCTGCGTAGCCTGGTCGTCAACCCAAGAGGCGTCCGAGTGACCAGTGAGGACAACGTCACCCCGTCCTCCAAGCACGAGCCCCATGCCCGATGTACTGCACAAGTAGCGTAGTACCCTCTTGACAGCATCCATGTGCACCTTTCGGTGCCGACCAGGAGCCACATAACGAGCCAGAAGGCCAAGAGGGTACGCAAGGTCAGGACGAGTGCAAGTCATCAGGTACATGATGCAGCCCACTAACTCTGGGTAAGGACCACTCGGCTCTACGGACTTGTCCGAAGGTGGAGCTGAGAGCGAGTGACCTGTAGCCAGAGGAGTGGCCTGTGCTGAGGACCAGGTGAAACCGAAGCGCTGAAGGACCTGTTGCACCATGTGTGACTGAGTCAGTGTGATGGTGCGGCGTGCTCTGTCCCGGGTGATCTGCAAGCCAAGGTAGCTGCGCAGTTCACTCAGGTCTGTGCACGTGTGTCTCTTCTGCAGCTCCGACTTCACCAGGGCGAGAGCCTCAGTGTCAGCAGTGACAAAGACCAAGTCGTCGACGTACACGAGAACGTAGAACGGCGGCAGCGAAGTGTCAGTGCGTAAAAACAGCGACGGGTCAGCAGTCGACGGAGCAAACCCAATAGCCGCAAGTGTCGTCCTCAGTGTGTCGTGCCACTCACGTGGCGCCTGGCGGAGACCGTAGACCGGCCGCCGGAGGCTCCACTGGGTACCAGGAGGGAACGACCCAGTGAAGCCAGGAGGGCGGCGCAGCCAAATCTCCTCGTGCAGGCTGCCCTGTAAGAAGGCTGTGCTGAAGTCAAGAGAGTGAAGCTCGTAGTCACGCTGAGCGGCAACGTGCAGCAGCACCTGAAGAGTGGTCATCTTCGGGGTGGGGGAGAAGGTCTGGAAGAAGTCAACTCCCTCTCGCTGACTGAAGCCTCGAGCCACGTAACGAGCCTTGAAGACAGGCGGAGAACCTGGCGGCCGCTTCACCCTGAAAATCAACATGCCACTGACAATGTTCGCCCCAGGAGGGGGAACCTCGTCGACGTAGGTGCCTGTGGACTTCCAGGATGCCATCTCTGCGTCCATGGCTGTCTGCCACTGAGAGGAGTACTCACCCGCGATCGCCTCAGCGTAAGAGCGCGGGGTAGAGATGTCTGGTGCATCCGGGTCTCCCTCAGGGGCAAGCAACATGGATACGAGATGAGGCGCAGCGGCTGCAAGACACTCAAGGTCCTCCTGCCTGTCCTCAAGGACGTCCGTGCCAAGAGCACACTCACCCCCGACGGACGGAGGACAGACAGACGCAGACTCAGCAACAAGACCGGCGGCGTAGTCTAGACGACAGTGAGCAGCAAAGGCAACAAGCTCAGTGACTAAGGCAAACGCAGCAGCAGACTCAAACGAAGGGTCAGTGACAACAGTGGCAAGCAGACGCGTGACAGTAGAGTGCTCAGCACGAAACCGGTCAGACGCAGGGTCAGCAACGACAGACAGAGAGGACGCAGGGGGAGGGGGCAGAGGAACACGTGGTGGAGGAGAGGAAGGACGACGAACTACAAGGGGAGGGCCGGAGACAGCCGGCTGGCACTGACGAGGAACACGACGACTGGAACTGACAGGGGAGACAGGACGCGAAACAGGCTCACGACGCTCTGCAAGGCCACCAGGCTGCTCTGTGTACGGAGAAGGAGCAGGCAGCGGTGAGCCAGGCTGTAACGGAAGACTAGTAGACGAGGGAAGACTGAGAACCTGGCGAAGTGCAGAGTCAGGTGGTGGCTGAGACGACGGAGACGGCGGAGCAAAGAACAGGCACGGCTGAGCAGTGCTACCAGCAGCTCCAGCACCTCCAGCAGCTCCAGCACCCCCAGCAGCTCCAGCACCTCCAGCAGCTCCAGCAGCTCCAGCACCTCCAGTACCTCCAGCAGCACCACCACCAGCCCCAGCAGCTCCAGTACTCCCAGTACGAGCACCTCCGGGACCAGCGACACCAGCAGAAGAACCTCCAGCAGGAGAGCCCTAAGGTGCAGAAGTGGGACGCCGACGGCGACCGTACCAGTCGTGCAGCTGCTGGGAGGTGAGGGGCACACGCGGACGAAGACGGCTACTCCAAGGAGACCGCGTAACAGCAGTCTCAGAACCCTCAGGCAACTCACCCCCAGACTCAGCACTCCCAGGCTCCGCACACACAGGCTCAGCACCCCCAGACGCAGCACCTCCAGACGCAGTACCCCGAGACGCAGCACCTCCAGGCTCCACACGCTCAGCGCCCCCAGACTCAGCACCCCCAAGCTCCGCACCCCCCGGGACAGCACCACTCGCAGCAGGACCGGAGTCACCAGTGACCTCAACAGGCGCAGGCGCAGGGGGGTCTACCTGAGAGACACCTGAAGGAGCAGGACCTGGCGCGGGGAGGGGGTCTACCTGGGGAGGACCTGGGGCGAGAAAGAGCGGCGGGGGGGGGCGAGGAGCAGTGCGGTAGGGGAAGAGGCGGTAAAAGGGGACGGACTCGTCAAAGGTGACGTCCTGAGACGCAAAGACACGGCGCGCGGCGGGGTCGTAAAACTGCCAGCCAGGCGCGTCAGGGACAAGGCCAAGGAAGACGCAAGGAATGGCGCAAGGGGAGAGCTTGTCCGCGGTGGTATCGCGGACAAAGGCACGAGCACCCCAGACCCGGAAACGCGACGCGTCGCCAACCTTCCCCGTCCACAGCAGTGTGGGCGAGGTCTCCGGCAAGGAGACACGGGGCCAAAGGTTGAGCTGATGCGCGGCGTACCGGACCACAAACGGCCACAGAAAATGGGGGGCAGCCGCATGGATCATGGAGGTACGAGCGACCTCCATGACTAAGCCAATGCGGCGCTCAGCAACCCCATTCTGCTGCGGAGAGGCCAGAAGCGTGAAAGTCTGGCGGATGCCGTGCTCCGCACACTGTACCCCACAGTGTGTACCCCACTAAGCCTACCCAAACTATAACATAGATATATATATGTTTGACACATCCGAGTTCCAAAGTTGCGCATTCCTCCTTGCAATTCCTTCGTAAAGTAGAGAACATTGTGAAATGAGGAGGGCTCTAAGAAAATCAATAAGAAAATGATTTTTTTTTTTTTTTCTGATTCAGCAGAAATGTTTTGAAGGAAATTCTGATGCATGAGACTGAAAAAACCACGCCATCTGATGCATCAGGCAAGGTCAAAACCTAGGGATGACCCTGACTGTAGACCATTGAATTCATGTCCTTTCGTGCTTCATCATCTGCGAACATGCTTGTTGGGCTAAGTGAAGCCCTAGGGACCAACCGGTAGACTTGTTGTACCGTATTTACCTGGCTAATGTGTCAAGAAACTGAACGAGAATAAATGCATTGACAAGAAACTGAATACAAGTACTAACCCTAATTGGGTTGTACATGTCAAAATAACGAACCAGAATGAATGCATTGAACAGAAGTTGGATACAAGTACTAACCCTAATTGGGTTGTACCCTTTATGGGCTACCCCACTATAACCTACACAAAGTAAAATATATAATATGTTGACACACCCCCATAGACAAAGTGGGGGAGAACAAACGGTCACAAGACCAGTCAAGAAAAAACAGAGCAAGCTCAGGGTGGATCACGAAGTCACCACACATTCCGAGCACAAGCAAAGGCCACAAGGCCAGTTCACATGCAGAGTTATATAAAAGAGCACAAACAGTACAGTGATCATACCCTAGCAAGTGTAAGCATGCAGGTATATA